TTCTGACTACTGCCTCTTGGTCCAACTATAGGTTTCGTATTAGCACAATTAAATGTTCTGGGATTCCCATTCTTCTCAGAGTCAGCCACAGACTGTGATAAAAATGTTCTTGCTGCGGTGTTGTTGTTGTTAGGTGCTGTCGAGTCAAGTACAACTCATAGTGACCCTATGAACAAAAAATTGGAACCCTCTTCTGTTCTGTGCCGTCCTCACACTTCCTACTACACAAGAGGCCACGATAGCAGTCACCGTGTCAATCTACCTCGTTGAGGGTCTTCCTTTCATTCACTGACCCTCCACTCTTCCCAGAATCATGTCCTTCTCCAGGAATAGCACTTCCTAACAACATGCCTGAACATGAGGTGAAGTCCTGCCTCCAAAGTACACTCTGGCTGCACCCTCTCCAAGACATATCTGTTCATTCTTTTGACCGTCCATGGGATGTTCAGTGCTCTTCTCCAACACCACAGCTCAAAAGCATCAATTCTTCTCTTGTCTTTATTCACTGTCCAGCTCTCAGATGCATAACAAGTGATTGGAAAGACCATGACCTGAATCAGATATACCTTAGTCCTCAAACTGACATCATTACTCATCAATAATTTGGAGAGGTCCCTAACTGCATATTTTTCCAGTGTAAAGTATTTCCTAATTTCCTCTGATATGATTGCTGATATGAAGGCTGTTAATTGTGGATCTAAGCAAGAGGAAGCTGTTGACAGTTTCAATCTCCTTTCCATTCATCATGATGTTGCTTATTGGTCGAGTGGTTAAGAATCTTTGTTTTCTTGATATTGAGATGCAATCCATACTGAAGGCTGCACTCATTGATCTTCTGCAACAACTGCTTCAAATCCTCCTCACTTTCATCAAGCAAGGTTGTACAGTCTACATAACACAGGTTATTGATGAGTCTTCCTCCAATCCTGATGCCACACTCTCTTCATAGAGTAGAGCCCAGTTTCTTGAATAATTAGGAAGCAGGAAACACACATTAAATAATTTAGGAGAACAACATTTAATATAAAACCGGACTGTCTTTTGGAGTAGATATGACATGGGCTAATTTAAAAAGATAAAGTTTAGCAATAAGCTGTTCTCATGAAAAAATTTAAAAGAACACAGCAAATAAAACAAAAAATAAGTTAAAAATTTTACTTCACTGATGCAGCTTCTGGCCATGTTAAGAGTTTTGCCTCCATAATATGAAATAATTCAATATTTATGGGTAGATCCCACTGAGGAATGGTGGTATAGTGTGTTATGTATTGAGTTGCTAATAGGTCAGTGGTTTGAATTCATCTGGTGTTCTGAGGGGAAAAGATGAGTATTCTCCTCTTATAAAGATTTAATACCTAGAAACCTGATGGAGGATTGCTATGAGTTTGAATCAACATGATGAAAGTAGTATTTTTTTGTTTTATATTCAAAAGTGTAGAACAACATCATTTGTATTAGAAAGTACATGGCAGTAGTTAACATTTTACTCAGGATACATTCTCACAGTTTTAAAAAATAAAATAGATACATTAAGACAAAAACACCAACAACATACGGAATCATAGTAGCAAAGAAGATCTTTAAAGCTGAAAAGGCACTTCCATATATTTCACTTCTTTTAATCCTCATGGGTATGGGCACTAAAGCCAAAGTCCTTGGGTTTCAATCTCAATTCTGTCACTTATTAACTACATAGTTTTGGACAAGTAACACATTTTTACTTTAGTTTCATCTGTGTAATGAGAGCAATGATGACATATATCTTACAGAGATTTATGAGGATTAAATGTGACAGTTTAAAAAAGTTCTTTGAACAATGCTTGGCACATGGCAAGTGCCCAACAAGTGTTATCTGGTAATAGTGGTATTCCTAGAGATATTCCCATTTTGCAGAGAAGTAAACTGATATGTAGAAAAGTCGAGTTTTTTTAACTAAGGCTACAAAGTCAGGGGACATATGGAGCCTGAAGCCATGATCCCAATTCCTTTATGTTGGAAGCCTATACTTTTTTGACAATGCTGCTATTGGAGTTGGATTTTTCCAAGTCCAAATCCATTAAGCTATTAAAAAGTAGTAAAAGCCTAGTCAATAGTTTTAGAACCCTCATAAAAAGCATAGCATATTCATGTAAAAAAAGGAAAATGAGCATAACTAAAGAAATGAAATACAAACCGTTGTCGATCACATGGATTAATAGCTACTAATGCTCCTCTGTCCCAGATCCGGTCAAATTTGTCAATATTTGCTCTACCAGAAAGGAAGAGGGGGGGAAAATTACAAGGTTTTTAAGCAAAAGAAATCAAATCATCAAGATGAACAGTCCTCTCATAGAACACATTGGGCTTCTCCAATGAAGGTTATGTCTACTTTCCCTCCTTGTCCATGGCGACCTGTTGATGCATGGATGTGAAGGTGGAGGCTATTTCCCTTTTCCGAGTTTTAGGAGCCTGTAGCAGCAGCCTCTCCCTTCTGTTATGACGTGAGGGCATAAAAGAGCAACAAAAGGCAGGATATGATAGCCCTGTTCCCAGCCCCAGCTCTCAATAAAAAACTAGTAATTCATTTCTGTTCCAGGTCCAGGTGCAAGGTGGATAATACTTTCCTTTCTATTCCTTATCTACCTACAGCTATAATAAAAATAGAAACCAAAACACATTAAAATCCAGTAGATTCCAATACACAGTAACTCCACGTGTCACAAAGTAGAAGTGTATCCAGTACAGTTTTGGCATTTCTTCCCAGGTACCCCGGGTTGATTTGAACCTCAAACTTTTGGTTAATCACGGATCAGTCAACAATTTGTGCCACTGAGGAATGTGTGTTGTTAGGTGCCACAGAGTGACCTCTGACCTGCATGTGACCCTGCATATAACAGTACGAACTGTTGCTTGCGTCAGTACCATCCTTACAAGTGTTGCTGTGTGTGAGGCCAATGCTGCAGCCATTGGTTTGGCCTGTCTCCAAATATCAACCAAGATTCTTTGATCATAAGGGCTCAGCAGCTATTCAAGGGCAAGTAAATGTGGAGGGATCTAGACTGTGATAAAAAAGAACTGCAGAACCAGGACACAGATGACTGCTTAGTGGGTGTTATTGCTGGTGGATGAATGATGGAAAGACCCCTGTCCCCATTGTAGTAAGCTCTCCAAAGGGCTCAAGTTTTAAAATTTAAAGTTTAAAAGTTGTAATATTCATTCTTACCTTGGCAGATCAAAAATGTCACAACAGTACAATGAAATGGTTCCTGAAGAGTTCTGTAATGAAAAAAAGGGAGGGAAGAAAAATTCTACTTCATTAGGAGATATGTAAATGCTCTAGGATAGAGGAGCAGTGGAAGCACAGACATTGAACACAATGGAAAGAAATCATTTTACTGCACATTCATGGCATCTTATTTTCTCGCTCACTGAATAGTTAAGTGATATGTTCCTAACTGAAAGATCAGCAGTTTGAACCCACTCCACAGGATGCAATCTGAGGAACTGTTCCAGATTTAAGGCAAGTAAAGAGACACGGCAATGAAATGCATTTTGGTTACATGGTGTTATGGGTTAAATTGTATTCCCTTAAAACATGTTTTTAAAGCCTAGTCCTAGGTCTCTAGTAAGTAGATTCCTGTTGGTGCAGAGGTTAAAGCATTTGGCTGCTAACTATATTGTCGGCAGTTTCAACCAGTAGAGATCTTTATGGGAGGAAGATGTAGTAGTTTGCTTCTGTAAAGATTTACAGCCTTGGAAACTTTATGTAGTTCTATTTTGTCCTAAAGTGTCATGAAGAGTCAGAATTGATTTATTGGCTATGGTTTGGTTTTGAGATTTGGATTTCCTTTTGCCCCTAAGAGGAAAACCATAGACAGTAATCCTGAGGACCAGTGGATGAGCTGTTCTTCTTTTTAGAATGAGTTAAAATTTAGCAGTGTTTACTTGAGCAGAGTCCTAACATTTTGACTCTGCTAAAGATAAACACACAGGTCAATCAATTACAAGGCAAGCTGATACAGGAAGTTCAGATATTTTTAAAAACTGCTCACTAAAAAGTACTCAAGAGTTGCTGTCTTTTCCTTTTCTTTTTTTTTTTCATGTATTCACTTGAGGAACTTTTAACCTTGGCCCTTGTGTCCATTCCAACTCACAGAGATCATACAGAACAGAGTTGTTGTTATATGCCATCGAGTCATTTACCGCTCACAATGACTTATGCAAAATAACTATGAACTTTGCCCTCGTCTGAGTCAACCCCACCATCTGCGACTACTCAAACCCCACTTCTACAGTTACCAGTCAATCCATCATGTCAAGGATCTTCTTTCCTATCTTGTGCTGACCCTCCACCTTTCCAAGCATAATGTCCATCTGTAAGGATTGGCCTCTCCTGATAACACACCCAAAGGATGTGAGACAGAGTTTCACCATCCTTGCTTCCAAGGAGCATCCTAGTTTGACTTTCTTCAGGACAGTGTTCTTCTGCAGCACTGTAACTCAAAGGCATCAATTCTTCTTCTGTCATCCTTAGTCACTGTTCAGCTTTCACATAGATAGCAAGTGACTGAAAAGATTATAGCTTGGATTAGGTGAACCTTAGTCTTTAGAATTACATCATTGCTCTTTAGCACTCTAGAGAGGTCTTTGACAGCTGTTTCCCCCAATGCAACTTGTCTTTTGCTTTTCTGACTACTGGTGCATAGGGTATTCATTGTGGATCCAAGTAAGATAGAATCATTGACAATTTCAGTCTCTCTATACCTTTTCAATTTGAATGCAGAACAGATCATTCGAGAGGCTGGACTTTATGAGGAGGAATGTGGCATCAGCATTGGAGGAAGACTCATCAACAACCTGTATTATGCAGATGATACGACTTTACTTGTTAAAACTGAGGGCGACCTGAAACATTTGCTGCAGAGAGTCCAGAACTGTAGTCTGCAATATGGATTAAAGCTCAATATCAAGAAAATAAAGACTCTCACCACTGTGCCAATTGTCAGAATCATGATAGGTGGAGAAGAGATTGTTAACAGTTTCAGCTTGCTCAGGTCCACAATCAATACTCTTAGCACCAGCAGTCAGGAAATCAAAGATTAATTACATTAGGAAAATCTGTTGTCAGGGACTTCTCCAGAGTGCTGAAGAGCAACAATGTTAGTCTAGAGAGTAAGATGTGCTTGATGCAGGCCATGGTCTTCACAATTACTAGCTATGCATCAAAGAGGTGAACAATTACCAAGGATGAAAAAAAGAAAAATTGATTCCTTTGAGTTGTGGTGCTGGATAACAGTATTGAACATACCACAGATTGCCAAGGAAACTAAAAAGTCAGTCCTGGAGAGGGTGAAAACAAGCTGCTCCTTGAAGGCAAGGATTTTGAAGATCTGTCTCACATACAAGAGGGGCAAGTCGTTGGAGGTGGGTATCATGCTTAGAAGGGTTGAGGGACAGCACCAGAGAGGAAGACCCTGGATGAGAAGGACTGACAATAGCTAGAGTAATGAGGGTGTGTCAGAGACAGTGCAATTGGCTCAGGACTGAGCAGATTCATAGCTATTGTGCATACCGGGGCTATGAGTCATAGTGGACTTGACAGTACGTTACAGCAACAACATCTTAATGCTACCTATAAGCCTGGTGGTGAAAATTTTTGTTTTCTTTAGATTGAGATGCAATCGATATTGAAGTCTGTATTCTTTGATCTTCTGCAGCAGGCACTTCAAGTCCTCCCCAATTTTGATAAGCAAGGTTGTGCCATCTGCGTAACACAGGTTGTTGATATCTAATGTTGATGCCACACTATCCTTTATAAAGTCCAGCTGCTTGAAAGATCCGTTCAACATATAGATTTCAAAGGTATGGAGAAAGGATACATCCCTGATGCACTCCTCTTTTGATTCTAAACTATGTAGTATTCCCTTGCTCTGCTTGGACCACAGCTGCTTAGCCTACGTATAGGTTTCCCATGAGCCAAATGGAGGATTCTCATTCAGGTTTGAGGCATTTGAACACTAATGATTGAAGAGAAGATGAGATGTGGGATGAAATCAAGGATATGATCTAGGATGAAAGCAAAAGGTCATTACAGAGAGAGAGGAGGGAGAAAAGACCAAATTGGATGTCAGAAGACTCTGAAAATGACACGTAGAACACCAAGAAATTGAAACAAAGGGAAGACATGATGAAATAAAGAGTTGAACAGAAGATTTCAAAGGGAAGCCCTGGAAAACAAAGCAAAGTATTATCATGAAATGTGCAAAAAGCTGATGTCAGAAAATCAAAACGTAAGAACTTACTCCGCATTTCTCAGGTTGAGAGAACTGAAGAATAAATGCAAACCTCAAGTTGCAATACTGAAAGATGCTATAGGAAAAATCTTAAATCATTCAGGGAGCATCAAAATAAGATGGAAGGAATACATAGTCATTGTACCAAAAAGAACTGGCTGACATGGAATAATTTCAAGAAGTTGCATATAATCAAGAATCAATGGTAATAAAGGAAAAAGTTTATATTGCTCTGAAAGCAATGGCAAAAAATAAGATCCTAGGGATTAACTGAGTACCAGTTGATATATTTCAACAAAGAGCAGCCCTGGATGTGCTCATTAGGTTGTGCTAAGGCATCTGGAGGACAGCTATCTGGCCAGCTGACTGAAAGAAATCCATATTTATTCCCATTACCAAGAAAGGTGATCCAAGAGAATGTGGAAATTATTAAAAATAACACTGCATTACATGCAAGCAAAATCTTGTTAAAGATTATCCAAAAATGGCTCCATCAGTACATCAACTTAGAACTTCCAGAAAAACAAGCTGGATTTAGAAGAGGCCATAGCACTTGGGACATATATAATTTCTGATGTCAGATGGATCTTGGCTGAAAGCCGACAGTACCAAAAGTCTGTCTATTTATGTTTTGGTGGTGAGGTGAGTACCATAGAGTCAGAACCGACCCAAAAGTGACCCTCTGGTGGGTTTACAGAGGCACATGAGAGGAGACTGCCCATCCTTCTACTATGGAGCAGCTAGTGGCCTCAAACCACGTGCCTTTAGGATTGTAGTGCAGCTTTATGCCACTAGGCTACCAGAGCTCCCTATTATGGAAAGGCATTTGACTGTGTGTATCACAAAAAATAATGGCTAACATTGAAAAGAACTAAGTAGGACTGCTGAAATTTTTTTTTGGAAGTGGACTGTCATATTGCTGTCCTCTGAAGTGGTTCTGATGGGTTAGAACTATTAATCTTTTTTGTTAGCAGCAGAACACCTTAACCACTACACTCCCAAGGATCCCATTGAGCACGTACTGAGCACAGACTAGGCAGGACCATCCAGGTCAGAGATAATAGTTGTCAACTGGACAAAGTGTCTGCAGTTGGGAGGACAGTTTGGTGGAGTTGAGAGGTGAAAAATCACATCACAGAATGGCTCCTACTGTTACAATTGGTGCCTGAGAATTATGCAAAAAGAGAAACAAACTGTCCAAGAGTGTCAGGGAAATGCATTCCTGAGATAAGCCCAGTGTCCTCCAAGATTGTATGGGGAAGCATCTGCTAACATCATGAGGGTGAGGTGGACTAGTCCAGGGGCAGAAACCTGGCATGGACTTGCAAGGAGATGCAAGTAGTCTGGGAGTTTTGGTTGAGAACAGGGCAGAAGAAGACATGAAGATGTTGGATTTTACTTAGGTATGAAGTTCTAACACAGGCTTACAAATAGAGGGGGGTGAGGTTGTGGAAACCAGTCCGCAAGCATGTCTGTCAGATAGCTCCACAACATCTTAGAGGAAGTTCAACCAGAGTGCTCCTGAGAGGCAAAGGTAGTAAAGCTTTGTCTCAAATGCTTTGGACATTTGTGAGGTGAGGCCAGTTCTTGGAGAAAGGTAGAAAAGGCTGAGGGTCATAGAAAGGGGATGAAGAACCCCTCAATAAGATAGAATGACACAGTGACTATAAGAATGAACTCAAGCATATCAGAGATGATGAGGACGGCTCAGGACAGGGCAAGGTTCAGACTCTTGTTCATAGAGTCTATATGAGTTGTAGCCAACTTGATGGCACCTAACAACAACAACCCCTAGCATGTGGGCTTGGAGGCAGGGAGGCCACCTGCAGATCTCAACCTCATGCTTATCTGGGCAGTGTTAAACAATACTGACAACAGTACTTTACCTCAGTCATTTCAGATTCATTGACCTGGTCATAACTTGACTGGGGAATGTTAAAAATCCTTTGTTTTCCTGCCATCAAGCATGTCCCTGACTCACAATGATCCATGCACAACAGAACAAAATGCTCCTGGGTCCTGTGCCATGATCATGCCTGGTTATAGACTGGACTTAGCAGATCTTCCTAGTCTGTTTCAATCTGCAAGCTACACTGAAACATCAGCATCACAGCAACACGCAAGCCTCCTCTGACATGTAATGATGAGGGCTGTGCATGAGGTGTACTGGTCAGGAATCGAACCCGGGTCTCCTTCATGGGAGGCGAAAACTGCTGTTTAGCCACCACTGCCCACAAAGACCCTCAAGATGCTTCCAGATGTGCATCCAGGGCTGAGAACTACTGCCCCACGAGGTTCTGAGCAGGCTCCTGGGATGCTTAGATAATTTGAGGGGTGGCTGATAGGAGGAAGCTATAAAAGAAACTATTAAGAAGCTTCCTACAAATCTAATTATTCTCAATATTTAGAGATACTTTGTGAGGGAATCAGCATGTAAATGGACAATGACCAGATCTCATGTGACAACAGAACTCTGACCCATAGTAACCACCCAGGAGCAGCAACCACCCCAGAGGCCAGCCACATCCCCTGCAGCAGTCAGTCTAGAAGGGTCAGAAGTTCATCAATGAATGCCAGCTTCCTACTTCAGAAGATTCCAATGCCATTGAACCAGAACTAACTCATAGCTGATCCTCCAGTGGGTTTTCAGAAGCTACAGAAGCTAAAGAGGAGATTGTCCAAGACTGAGAAAAATAGGATAAATTATGTATACTGCACTGAAACAGATGAGGGAGAGAATAACTTAAAAATGATTTATGATAGGGTATTATGGTTATCACAAGAGTCCAGAATTAAGGTTGCTTAGTGGAGTGTACTCGGGGCAGTGAGAGGGGTGCGGGGAGGTTGTATACCAAAGAAGGAATTTTTCTTTTGCTTTTCAAAGAGAGGAGTGAACTGGGGGTGGGGGTGGGGTGGGGGAGGGCTGGGCAGGGAGAAAAGTGCAACAATGAATGAATGGAAATCCAAAATCTCATATGTACCCTATGTACAAGAGCTCTAAATGCTGTTCTATCCTGTGCCAACCTAGCCATCTCAAAAGCTATCCAGTCACAGAATCGATCCATCTCATCAAAGGTCTTCCTCTCCTTCACCGCCCCCCTACTCTGCCAAACATGATGTCCCTCTCCAAGGACCAGTCCCTTCTTGCAACCTGCCCAAAATATGTCAGACGAAGCTTCAGAATCCTTGACTCCAGGGAACATTCTGGCTTCACTCTCTCCAGGACAAACCTGTTTGTTCTCCTAGCAGTCTATGGTATATTCAACACTCTTCTCCAGCACCACAGCTCAAAGGCATCAATATATCTGTACTTTTGAAGCCAACCCTTAACACTGAATATCTAGATGAAGGTGTTTGGTAATGAAAAAACTCCACTGCCAGCTGAGGTGAACCGATTCATAGCTGACCCTCTAGTGTTTTTCCAAGACTGTAAATTGCCTGGGAGGAGATTTCTTTCTCTCAGAGCTTCTGGTGAAGTCACACGGCCAGAGAGGTATAGCCTTTGGGTTGGCAGCACAACCCCTTTCTGACTATGCTACCAGAGCTCCCTTCATGTGATAAAGAGGGGCCATATGATATCTTTCTAGTATTCTGATCTAGGCAGGCTGAGAAAAACTATTGCAACTCTGGAATTAACAACAGCAAAACCAACCTTAAACAGTTTAGCTCCAGGGATTTCAGGAATTGGTTCTTTTGAGTATGGGAGACTCTGCTCTGTGAAGAATTCCCGTATTGCAAGTTCACTTATTTCCACGCCAACAACACTATGCCCCAAGTCCGAAAACCTGCAAAAAAGCAGAAATTTACACTTGCATATCCATTTCAAAGACTGTACTAATCAATAAAGAAGCCTGCCTCAATCAATATACTTTTCCTTTAATTTAAAGGAATTTCTATGAATTCAGATTCATATAAACAGAAGCAGATCTTTCTGCATATCCATAAAACCAACCTGTGGGAAAATAAACTTACCTATTCTCAAATCTAGTGTTTTGAAAAATTGTGAAAGGTTGTTCTATATGACATGAGCAAAAATTTAAAATTCTGAAAAGTATATTGTAAAATGATGATTTAGTACTCATGGGTTTGACTATAGGGGTTTCTGATGTAAAAATATCTTTGAAAAAGAAATGCTTTGCTATTTCTCTAAACAGGAAGTTATATGATCATGGATTACTATGGGTCACTATATATTACATCTCAACATCAAGAAAATAAAATTTACCATTGGGCTACTGTTGTTATGTGCCATTGAGTCAGAATTGACTCATAGCTAACCCTCCAATGATTACCCATAGACTGTAAATTGCACCAAGAAGAAATAGTCAGTCTTTATCCTACTGAGTAGCTGGTGGATCTGAACTACTGGCCTTTGGGTTGGCAATGCAACTCCTTACTACTAGGTCACATAGGCAGCATAATAATAGATGAAGAAAAAAATTGAGGTTGTCAATTATTTCCTTTCAAATAGATCCATAATCCACTTCTATGGTAGCAGTAGTTAAGAAATAAAAAGATGTATTGCTTTGGGAAAATTTATTGTCCAGGACCTCTTCAAAGTGCTAAAGTATCACAATGTCAGTATAAAGACTAAAGTGTGTCTGGTTCAAGTCATAGTATTTTCAATTGTTTCCTATGCTTCTGAAAGATGGACAATGAACAGAGATGGCTGAAGAAGAACCTATGCCTTTGAACTGTGGTGCTAGAGAAACGTAGTGAATATTCCAAGGACTGCCAAAAGAACAAGTGACTCTCTTGGTAGAAGTGCAACCTTAGACACCAAGGATGGTGAAACTTCATCTCACATACTTTGTGCATGTTGTCAGGAGACATCATGCTGGGAATGGCAGAGTGTTAACAAAAGAAAGGAAGACCCTCAACAAGATGAACTGATATAAAAACTGTACTAATGAGATCAAGCCTGGTGGAGACGGTGAGGATGGTGCAAGAAAGGGCAAGGTTTTGATCTGTTAATAGTGTCACTATGAGCTGTCATTAACTCGGTTGTTGTTGTTGTTATGTGCCATTGAGTCGCTTGCGACTCATAGTGACCCTATGTACAAGAGCCCTAAACGCCGTTCTATCCTGTGCCAACCTCACCATCTCACACACATTCATTCCCACCACTCCACTCAGAGAATTGATCCATCTCATCTAGGGTCTTCCTCTCCTGCGCTGTCCCTCCACTCTCCCAAACATGATGTCCCTCTCCAAGGACCAGTCCCTCCTTGCAACTTGCCCAAAGTATGTCAGACGAAGCTTCAGAATCCTTGACTCCAGGGAGCATTCTGGCTTCACCCTCTCCAGGACAATCCTGTTTGTTCTCCTAGCAGTCTATGATATATTCAACACTCTTCTCCAGCACCACAACTCAAAGGCATCAATTCTCTTTCTGTCATCCCTATTCACTGTCCAACTCTATAGCCTGGATCAGGCGCACCTTAGTCTCCAGCCTGACATCACTGCACTTCAATACTCTTGAGAGGTCCCTCACAGCTGACTTTCCCAATGCAATTGGTTGTCTGAATAGGCTTCAGTACACAGATTAATGACATAAATGAAATGGTTTTTTTTTTGTATAATAAATTGACATGCAGATCTGGCACTTAGGTCCTTGAATGAAGCACATGATTTGTGCTTGCCTCCTAAGGTGGTTAGTCTGAACCCTTCCATTGGCAGCAAAGGTCTGGCAATCTGTTTCTGGAAGATTCCAGCTAAGAAAACCCATTTTGAGCATGTCCATTCCCACACATGGGATTTCCAAGAGTCAGAACTGACTCATAGGCAATTAGTTTAACTGGCTTTAGACCAAAATATCTACCAATCATATTTAACTTGCTGTTTCAACATACCAGGATTCTACTGTTGCCTCAAGACCTCCACCATAGTTAGATTATTGTCATATATGACAGCACTGTATGATGTCACCATAAGACAGTGTATCAAGTTAATGTTTTTCTTTCTGGTTCTTCTGGCTCAATGAGCTATTTATGGTATAGATCTAATAACAAGGTCTAAATTTCCTCAAGTTCATGGCTACAGTAGAATCTTAAGCCACAGCAGTCATCTAACAAACACTCTCAGCTACTCGTTGATAGCTTGTGGACTGATCATAAAGTGAAGACACCATCTCCACTGGAAAATGAACTTCAAATTTACACATAATCAGAGAGTCTACTTATACAAGGAACAAAGTAATTAAAAGTCACACTTACTACCTTTAATTTTTGTTTTCTGCTCCATGATACAAATTATCAACATTAAAGCTTAAATACAAATTCTTTGTCTTGGCACTTATGGTAGTGCGCATATATACCCTGTAGGAGGACTTTGGTAGTGTAGTCCACTAACCCAAAGGCTACATACCTCTTCAGGGGTTCAAATCTACCAGCAGCTCTTTGGGAGAAATATGGGAAGTCTCCTCTGATTGTGATTTTAGAGCCTTGGAAACCCCATGAAGGGTTGCTGCTATGAGCTAGAACTGACTCGCCAGCAATGAGCGAGTTTTTGCATTACATACACTATCACTATAGTAGAATCCTCTACCAAAAGAGATTTCTAACTGTGTTATTTTAGGGTAATCTGTAGCAATAGTGTGCTCTATGAAACATAGGGTTTCCAACAACAAACTGTGGCTGACTCTGAGAAGAATGGGAATACCAGAACACTTGATTGTGGTTATGTAAAACCTATGCTTGGACCAGGAGGCAGTCATCAGAACACAGCAAGGAAACACTGTATGGTTCAAAATTGGGAAGAGTGTATGCCAGGGATGTATTCTATTTTCATATATTTTTAATCTTTATGTGGAACAAATTTTCCAGGACTCTGGGCTCTATGAGGAGAAATGTGGCATCAGGATTGGAGGAAGATTCATCAACAATCTGCATTACGCAGATGACACAACCCTGCTTGAGAAGGACCTGAAGAGCTTGCTGTAGAAGGTCAAGGACTGAAGCCTTCAATACAGACTGAAGCTCAACATGAAGAAAACAAAGATTTTCACCACTGTGCCAATTGGCAGCATCATGATAGGCAGTGAAGAGACTGAGATTGTTAACAGCTTTAGTTTGTTTGGCTTCACAATCAACACTCTTGGCAACAGCAGTCAGGAAATTAAAAGACTAATTGCATTGGGAAAGTCTGCTGTTAGAGATCTCTCCAAAGTACTGAAGAGCAACAAAGTAAGTCTGGAGACTAATGTAAGCCAGATACAGGGCATGATCTTTGCAATTACGTGCTATGCATCGGAAAGCTGGGCAATGACTAGGGATGACAGAAGGTGCCTTTGAGCTGTGGTGCTGGAGAAGAGTGTTGAATATACCATGGACTGCTAGGAAAACAAACAAGTTCATCCTTGGTAGGGTGAGACCAGGTTGCTCTTTGGAGGCAAGGATTCTGAAGCTTCGTCTGACAAACTTCGGACATATTACAAGGTGGGTGTAATAGACCAGTCCTTGGAGAGGAACATCATGCTTGCGAGGGTAGAGAGACAGTGCAGGAGAGGAAGACCCTCAATGAGATGGATTGATTCAGTGATGGGGGTAATGAGGGTAGATGTGTCAGAGCCAATAAGACAGACACAGGATAGAACAGGCTTTAGGGCTGTTGTACATAAGGTCACTATGAGCTGCAGGCATAACAACAACAACAGAGCAACAGTGGCAAATTACATTATCTACTCAAGGTCCCTAGTGGCATAGTTTGTAATGTGTCTGGCTGCTAACCAAAAGGTTAATGGTTCAAATTGATCAGTCCCCAAAAGAGAAAAATAGACAATTTCATCCAGAAGATTTCCAAGGCTTTAACTAATATGGAAGGAGACTACCCATCCTCATCTTTCTCCCAAGAAAGAGCTGGTGACTTCAAACCACTAGAGACACCTTCTTCAGTAGTCATTTATTGCCATCCAGTTGCAAGCAACTAATAGCTGATCCTCCAGCGGGTTTTCGAGCTGTAAATTGCACAGGTGGAGACTGCCAATCTTTCTCTCTCAGAGATGCTGGTGAATTCAAACCGCCTGCTTCTGGGGATGGCATTATACCTGCATTGCTCTTGTAGTAATCTACTAAAACCAGAGAAACCTCCTGTAGTCATTTCTTGCTATATTCTGTTTAATATTCACAAAAAAGGATTCATCATCAAAGTAAAAAAGTATAACTTATCTGCTCTTACCATCTCATTTCGACTGCTTTTCCACAAAGAGGGAAAAAGACCCGGAGTTTAATCCCACTGTGAAGAAAAGTATCCAAATGCTTCTTTAACAGCCTGGGAGAGAGAAAGAACAAAATAAAATAAAACAGTATTTGTTTGCTTTTTTTGGTTACTAAGCCGTGAGCACAGAAAAAGGGGCTAAAACTGCATGGTGCTAAGTTCTTTTCATGTACAATCTTACTTAATATTCACCTTCAGATCTAGATAATATTATCACAATCTCCAGTGTAAAGATGAAGAAACAGGGAAAGTCAAATAACCTACAGTCATTTAGCCAGCAAGGATTAAAAGTCATTCAATCCCAAGCTTAGTGATTTAAATTTCAAAATTACTGATTAGTTGATGCTATGTCTTGAACTTTCTTTATTAATTCCCCAAATGTATACTCTTGGAGGGAGTGGGGCATGGGGATTGCTGGACTTAGTTTACTCATTTTTTTTTTAAAGGTAAGTTTTCTAAATGTGTACTCTCATTTGACAGTTAACTCTCAGAGTTTAATTACTGTAGTTAATTCTTTGCACAGAGATGTACCTGTTTGAAGCCATGCATATGAGAGGAGAACTTCTATAATGGAGTTCTGGTATAATGGCATGACTATCACTTAACACATGAATGTTATATCGAGGACAGTCTGTAAAGACCAGTTGACATGATTTATGGTTGTTGCTAGAAGACTACTTCTATATTGCTCAACATCCTTGTCCAATTATATTTTCTCTCAACCTCTTGTCTTCTATCACATATGTAACACCTAATATATGAATTTATGCTATTGGGAAGAAAGTCTTAATATCTTTTCAACATAAAGGACAGCATTTAGCATAAATATTGCTTAAGCATCTGCTATATGCACAAACATGCACGACTAATATGTAGGTGCTTCAGGAGATTAAACAAAGACATATTTCATAAATCTGAGATGCCAGAATAGGAAGTCACCCTCTTTTTCACATGCAGTGGGAAGATAAAGCACTGTCAATTTAACTACGATTTCAGCGGTGCTAAACTGTGGGGGGAAGAGGGGGCTGTGTATCTTAAAACCAGTGAAATAACATTTCTATTTTTAAAGTTGTGAAGAACATTTCTCTGTTCTATACCAAACAATTCTTACCGATGTCCTTCTTCTTGATGAAAGCCGATCTTGCGGCTCACCCACTTTTCTTGCCATTCTTCCAGAGTGAGTTCTTGGTCTTTTTGTACCTCAGTGTCAGGGTACTCTTCAGTTTCAGGTAAATTTCTTATAGTATCCATAGTTGTGCAGATCACTCTGCCTCACAAGTGGGTGCTACAAATGCCTACATGGAAAAAAAAAACCAACACAAAAACCAAAAAACATTTCAGTGTTGTTAAGAGCACTATGAATCTAAATGGACACTATATATTTTTCAAAATAAATTTAATATCCAAGGAAAAATATAGAGAAGAACTTATCAGTGAGCCTGATAGTAAAGGTATAGTTTATATAACACATTAGTAGGTCTTTAAGTATAGGCATGCCTAGGAGACCTTGACAGAGGCCTGGTGATGTAGTGTGTAGAGAGTTGAGCTGTTAACCCACAGGTTGAGCATCTCTGGTGATTTCAATCCACCAGCGGCTCTGCCAGATGGAGGAAAATGGACAGCGTCTCCCTATGTGTTTTAAAGCCTCGGAAACCCACTAATGGGTCAGCAAAGGTCAAACTCTGTGGCAATGAGTTTTGACAGAAGCGATTTATGGCAAGATAGGTTTCAGATCACCACAGAAAAGTGAATACTGAAATAAAATCAGGTACATGAATTTTTTGTTTCCAAGTGCATATAAAAGTTATGTTTCTTGTTTTTGTTTTGTTTGTTGTTGTTGTTGTTGTTAGAACAAATCAGAAAAACAACACTGTTTTACACATAGATCAAAAAGGCCAAAAACCCCTACAACGAAACCCACCAAAACAGCAACTTCATAAACAAAAAAAGGAAAAGAAACCTTTTATCTTTGGCTTTTTTAACTGTCTCAGCAAACCAATGATTTTTTAAAATTTATTTTAATGAACGTTTACAGAGACTTTAGATTTCCATTTATTCATAGTTGCAGTTTCTTCCCTGCCCACCCCTCCCCACCCAGTTCACTTTTCTTTGAGAAGTAAAAAAAAAAAAAAAAATTCACTGTTATACAATCCCTTTACCCCAGTCCACTCCACTCTGCAGCTTTCATTCTAGACTCTTGTCATGACAATAATAATGTTGTTGTTGTTGTTATGTGCTGTTGAGACACTTATAACTCATAGCGACTCTATGTACAAGAGCCCTAAATGCTGCTCTACCCTGTGCCAACCTCACCATCTACAACACACCTACTCCCATTACTCCAATCACTGAATCGATCCATCTCATAGAGGGTCTTCCTCTCTTGCACTGTCCTTCAACTCCCCCAAACATGATGTCCCTCCTTGCAACATGCCGAAAGTATGTCAGGCAATGCTTCAGACTCCTTGACTCCAAGGAGCAGCTCGGTCTCACTCTTTCCAGGACAAACTTGTTTGTTCTCCTAGCAGTACATGGTATATTCAATACTCTTCTCCAGCACCACAGCTCAAAGGCATCAATTCTCTTTCTATCATCCCTAGTCACTATCCAGCTCTCCAACACATAGGACGCAATTGTGAAGTCTATGGCCTGGATCAGGAACACCTTAGTCTCTAGCCTGACACTGTTGCTCTTCAGTACTCTGGAGAGTTCCCTGACAGCTGACTTTCCCAATACAATTTGTCTCTTGATTTCCTGGTTGCTGGTACCAAGAGTGTTGACTGTGAAGCCAAGCAAACTAAAACTGTTAACTATCTCAATCTCTTCACCATCCATACTCATGCTGCCAATTGGCACAGTGGTAAGAATCTTTGTCTTCTTGATATTGAGCCTCTATCCATATTGAAGGCTGCAGTACTTGACCTTCTGCAGCAAGTGCCTCAGGTCCTCCTCAGTTTCAGCAAGCAGGGTTGTGTCATCTGCGTAATGCAGATTGTTGATGAATCTTCCGCCAATCCTGATGCCACATTCCTCCTCATACAGCACAGTGTCCTGGATGATGTGTTCTGCATACAGTTTGAAAAGGTATGGAGACAGAAAACATCCCTTGCGGACACCCTTCCCGATTTTGAACCATGCAGTGTCTCCTTGCTCTGTTCTGATGACTGCCTCCTGGTTCAAATACAGGTTTCACATAACCACAATCAAATGTTCTGGAATTCCCATTCTTCTCAGAGTCAGCCACATCTTGTTGTGATCCACACAGTCAAAAGCCTTTGCATAGTCAATGAAGCACAGATAGACATTTTTCTGGTATTTTCCGCTTTCTGCCAAGACACATCTAACATTAGCTATAATATCCCTAGTAACACGACCTCTTCTAAACCCAGCCTGCACATCTGGCAATTCTCTGTTGACGTGTTGCTCCAGTCGTTTCAGGATAATTTTCAGCAGAATCTTGCTTGCATGTGATATTAATGATAATTTTCAGCAGAATCTTGCTTGCATTTGATACTAATGATACTGTTTGTTAATTTCTGCACTCTGTCAGGTCACCTTTCTTTGGCATAGGAACAAATATAGATCTCTTCCAGTCATTTGGCCAGGTGGTTGTCCTCTTGGCACAACTTAGTGAGCACATCCATGGCAGCATCTCTCTGCTGAAATATGTCAACTGGTATGCCGTCAACTCCTGGAGCCTTGTTTTTTGCCAATTCTTTCAAAGCAACTTGAATTTCCTCCATCATCACCATAGGCTCTTGCTCATATGTTATTTCATGAATACCTAATTGTATATTCCTACTACACAGTTCTCTCCCTCATCTGTTTCAATGCAGTATATACATTATTTATCCCCTTAGTTACCCCCCCCCCCAACTCCCATGTCAGACCTGCTTTACAACACTGGCACTATGCAGTATTTGTACTTTTGTGACTAATATATTTCAATCAGCATGATGTCCTCCAGAGCCATCCATTTCGTATAATATTTCATGAGTTCCTTGTTTTTCAATGCAGCATAATGTTACATTGTGTGAATATACCACAGCTTCTCTATCCATTCATTTGTTGATTGATGCTTGGGTTGTTCAAACTCTTTGCTATTGAAAGCAGCAATAAAAATGGGTGAGCATATATCTGCTTGGGTGGCAGTTCTGGTTTCTTTAGGGTATATTCCCAGCAGTGGAATTGCTGAGTCAAATGATATTTCTCATTCCAAATTTTTGAGAAAGTGTCATACTGCTTTCCATAGTGATTGCACCATTTTACACTTCCACCAACAGTGAATAAGGGTTCCCATTTCTCCACAACCTCACCAGCATTTGTTGTTTGCTATTTTGTTAAATTTTGCTTTTGTTACTGGGGTGAGATGATATCTCACAGTTGTTTTGATCTGTATCTCTCTTAGCTAGGTAGTTTGAACATTTTTTCATGTGCTTATTGGCCATCTGAATGTCTTCTTTGGTGAAGAGTCTGTTCATATCCTGTGCCCATTTTTCAACTGGGTTGTTTACCTTTATCTTGTTCTGGTGACAAATCAACTACTTATAGTACAGCTAAGTATATATAGAAAGAAAAGTTACTGGAATGCTTGGAATAAGATTGTATTTTTTTTAAAACACAATGCACATAAATGACACATAATGTAATTATTATATGAAAATCAATAACATTTCTTTTAAAAAAGTGTTATGTTTATATGATTGTAGGCTGTACAAAAGGGCGCTGGTGATACAAAGGTCAAGTGGTGGGGAGCTAACCCAAAGTCAGCAATTTGAACCCACCAACCAACAACTCTGCAGGACAAAGATGGGGTCATATCTTTCCATCAAGATTTATAGTCTTGGAAACTTGACGGAGGATGTTCATGAATCAGAATTGGCTTAAGGGCAGGAGGATGGGTTTTGGTAGTCTATCAAGTCTATAATAACAGTATTAGAAAATTTGAAATATTGTAAGAATTACCAAACTTGACAGAGAGCCACGAAGTCAGCAAATGCAGTTGGAAAAATCATGCAAATAGACTCATTCAAACCTTCAACTGGTAAAGAATGTAATATCTAAAAAGTGCAATAAAGTAAAGCACAATTAGACAAATGACTGGAACAGCACATCAGTAGAGAACTGCCAGAAGTCCAGGCTGGGTTTAGAAGGGGTCGTGGTACTAGGGATACTGTAGCTGATGTTAGATGGATCTTAGCTGAAAGCAGGGAATACCAGAGGAATGTCTATCTATGTTTCATTGACTATGCAAAGGCGTTTGACTGTGTGGATCATAACAAACTGTGGCTGACTCTGAGAAGAATGGGAATCCCAGAACACTTGATCGTTCTAATTTGAAACCTATACTTGGACCAGGAGGCAGTTGTCAGAACAGACAAAGGGAACATTGCATGGTTCAAAATTGGGAAGGGTGTACGCCAGGGATGCATCCTATCTCCATACCTTTTCAACCTGTATGCAGAACAGATTATCGGGGAGGCTGGGCTCTATGAGGAGAAATGTGGGGTCAAGATTGGTGGACGATTTATCAATAATCTGCGTTATGCAGATTATACAACCCTGTTTGCTGAAACTGAGGAGGACCTGAAGCGCTTGCTGCAGAAGGTCAAGGACTGCAGCCTTCAATATGGATTGAAGCTCAACATCAAGAAAACAAAGATTCTCACCACTGGACCAATTGGCAGCATCAGGATGGATGGTGAAGAGATTGAGGTTGTTCACAGCGTTAGTTTGCTTGGCTCCACAGTCAACACTCTTGGCAACAGTAGCCAGGAAATTAAAAGGTGCATTGCCATGGGAAAGTCTGCTGTTAGGGACCTCTCCAAAGTACTGAAGAGCAATGGTGTCTCTCTGGAGACTAAGGTGTGTCTGATACATGCCATGGTCTTCACAATCACTTGTTATGCATCAGAGAGTTGGACAATGACCAAGGAGGATAGAAGGAGAATTGATGCCTTTGAGCTGTGGTGCTGGAGAAGAGTATTGAGAATACCATGGACTGTTAGGAAAACAAACAGATTTGTCCTCGAAAGTGTTAAACCAGGTGGCTCCTTGGAGGCAAGGATTCTGAGGCTCCATCTAACATACTTTGGACATGTTGTGAGGAGAGACTGGTCCTTGGAGAAGGATATCATGCTTGGTAGGGTGGAGGGACAGCTCAGGAGGGGAAGACCCTCTATGAGGTGGATTGATTCAGTGACTGGGATAATCAGGATGGGAGTGTCAGAGACAGTGCGATTGGCACAGGA